AAACAGTACTATATAGCATTTTAGACACATTCTAGACCAGTGGTTCCCAAACTTTTCAGCTTTTGACCCACAAAATAGTACAAAACAGTAGCAGAGACCTGAGCACCCAAATGTTTTTGGATGATAAACATTTGTATCAGGTCAACTAAACATGGGCATTGTAACATATAAGGCATATTTTTATACTACGTTTATCCATTTTAAATACACTAACCTCACTCCTTTGTAACAACTAAGGCAAAAAAATGTAATTAATTCAGAAAATCTTTTCAGGACCCCACCTTGATGTTTCGGGACCCCACTTTGGGTCCCGACCCCAACTTTGGGAAACACTGCCCTAAAGAAAGTTTGAAAGAGAACACTTTTTAAAGGAATTAAAGAGATCTTAATGTATTTTTTGGAATAAATATTTATAGTTAAAGTTAGAAAGATACAAAAACAAAAAGTCATAGCAGCTCTTTCCTGACTAAGCTGAGTGTTTCAGTACATGAAAGAGTTTTGTTTTTTTTGCTTGTTTTTAATGCAGTGTCCCCTGATGGTCCAAAGATCACCACCTAATATTGACTTTTAGCTTTGTGCTTTAGGCTCAGAGAGATATCCAACTTCTAAAACCTTTTAATGATTTTATGAACTGTGAATGATTCAGTTTTCAGATTAAATATTGAGGAACATGATTCTGAAGCGGTTTGGGCAAAACTGCATCTAAAAATAATCAAACTGCTGAACTTCAGCTCATTTTTATCTCTGAGATTCAGCCTCTGTAAAAAGAGTTTTTATTTTAAGCATTATCCATTTCTCTTACTGACAAATAACTTCATTAGTAGGCCTGTCGCGATAGTCAATAAATCAATTAATTGCACGATAAATTATCTTGAGGTCGGCAAAAAAAATGAGGACGATAAGTTTCATTTTCCTGCTTGTTTGTTTACTTTGTCTCTCTCCCTCTCTGTGCTCCGCTGCACAGGAGCTCAGCTGACTCCTCCCCTCCTGTTTTCTTAGTGTAGGAGGAGTGAAGTGTCGTGTTAGCGTGAGAGCTCGTAGCAATAACAAACTAAAGAAACGTTTCAAAGCAGAACGCGGCTGCTGCAGTGTCGGAGCACTAGAGCCTGAATTTCGCTGGGGGGGGGCTGACACTCCCCCAGACCCGTGACAAACTCGTCAAGACTTTACCTGTAGCTCCCAAAAATACCAGGAAACTTAAACGCACCATCTGTGTTTTAACTAAACCCCCAAAAAAACCTGTAGCTGTCCCAACAACTCATGAGGAAAACTCTGAACTGTCTGATTTCCTCCCCGCAGCGCTCTTACTGTCCCCTCCTCACACACACACACATAGACACGTTTGTTCTTCTATCCTCATGGGGACTTTGCATTGACTTTCATTCATTTACCAGTACTTTCTATTACCATTTGACCCTAAACCTAGCCTACACTTTACATGGGATGTGAACTGGGCTTATGTCCCCATAAGAAACAGTGGGTCCTCACCAGGCTGTGTAGTTTGCTTCATCTCTAAAGAGATGCTGCTCTTTAATATTGTTTATTTACTGTCTTAGTTGTGTGTGGTGTTTAATTTACATTTTGTTCTTTGTTTTTTTTTATTCAAGTGCGTTTTTGTTAGAGACTGAGTCCACTTTGTTAAACATTCTTTTAAAAATTAAAGTTTATTGATTTATTAC